GATTCCCATACACCCCCATATAAAACTGCCTAAAACTAAAGATCAACTGTCTTTTTAATGTGGTTTTAGTTAGTTTTGTATGTACAAACTCATTTGTTAGACTATTTTTCAGTAAACTACAAAGTTTTACGACGACTCGTCTAGTTTTAAGGTTAGCTTTAATCCACTATTATAACGTTGCTGAGACACCTGTCAATCACTATGGCCAGATTTCTCATTTTAAAACTTTAAAAGTAATAATTTTTGACTGGTAAGTTTTAAAAAAAAAAAAAAAAAAAAAAAAAGTTTATACTGTGAAATATATTTTACCACGGGACTCACTTTTAGTGGCAGCCCCCAGTGGCCATTTGAGGAACTGCATTCTGTTATAAACTTACTTGCTGTAACGTTTTCTCGGATGCATATATAGTTGGATAACAAGGCTCATAAAACTAAATAATGGATTTTTTTTTGTTGCTTAGTAATAAAGTTATGCTTTCTTCTCTCCTTGGTTAAAATCTGTCGAGAACTGTGTTGAAATGTGTTTAAAACAATGCAATTTTCCCCATTATTACAACAGTGCTGCATTTTTGATAACAATGTGCACAGATCATGCATTTATATTATACCTGTCAGAGTGATAATGAGGAGATAAGATGGGGGCAGAGAGCATTGGCGACCAACACCTAATCCTATATGAGTTTAACCTTTGCAGTCATTACACATACAGAGAACATTTTAAATATTAAACATAGTGATTCACATTTAGAGTCACATCCATGATATGAAGGAAAAGCTAGAATTCTTATTAATAACTCTTATTTTAAATAATTGGGGTCTTCATTTCAATTTCATAAAGTTAGACTCTTAATAATGAGTGAAAAGCACGTAAGACTGTGTCATTAATAAATGTCTTTTTTCCAGATCCGGAGTCTGACGGTGAGGTCTCTGGATGCCCACGTTTCCATTTCATGCCACGTTTTGTCAGATTTCTGCCCGGTAGGACTCGTCACAGAACCTTCTTTTTTTGCCATTTGTCTCCCTCTGGTGGTCTATATTTCTTAAGCTGTCTCACGTTGCCTAAAACCCTAAAAAAACTCTCCTCCAGCAATATCCACTCAAAGCTTTTACACTCATGGTGATAGTTGTGGTTCGTTCTCGGTAAAATGGCAGATGGAGTTAGTGCCTGAGCCTCTGCGTGTCTGCCTGGCATTCATCTTCGATGCACATGATGGTGCTGGTGCACTATGATATTACCGCGGCGTTTGTCATGACAGCCGTGCCCACCTACTTTCTCTCCATCAAAAAACAATTTCTCTCCCAGCTCTCCCAATTTAGTCGGGTACAAACACTTATCTGTCTCTTTTACAAAAGCGCCAGAAGACCCAATCCAGTGTTTCTGATGTGATCTGTAAAGGGGAAAGAGGCAGAGAGCAAACAGGGGAGTTACAGTGAGAGCACGATGACGGTGTGTTTGGAATTTAGAGTCGCGGGGTGTGCATTAGTCCTAATGCATCCCGGACTGAGAGGACAGTGGATTTTTTTTTTGGTTTGTGTCCATCTGAAATGGAGGTCAATCAATTTTGCATGAGTGTCTATTAAACTGCCTCTGTTTGACCTGCTTGATTGCACGCTTGTGTTCAGCTGTATTTCTCTGCACATGCATACGTGTGTGTGCGGTGCCTCTCGGCTTATTTCTGATCTTGTAATTCAGGGCGGACTGTTATTATAAGCGTGTCATTATGTGCCTTCACGTATCGCGCGCCGTCCGACCTTGCATCAGCTCCCCTGCTCACCTGTGCACTTCCTGAACAGTGCCATTGTAATGCACGGGGACATTTTCACAGTATATTTTCGCTGAGAAACTGAGAGTTGGCAGAGGTGAGGCGGGTTAGACGTATAAAACAGCATTCTTGATTTTTACACAACAACACATGGATGCTCGGAGAAACGGTTAACCTCCTATAACTGCAGTGAGGCTTTTACATTTGTCTTTTTT